CCACTTCCCCACACACTCCACTTCACCTAGCCCACTATCACGGGGGGCTGTTAGAATTTCCCATCTTTACCTTCACCTACTCCACTACACACTCCACTTCACCTACCTCCACTTCACCACACACTCCACTTCACCTAACCCACTATCACCTACACCTACTACCACATTTACTTCTATATATAGATTGTATAGGAATTGTAATTAATCAATCTTGTAATACATCAAAATATATATCAATCAATAATACAGTATTGTTAACACTTGTTTTATATTGTATAATCTATTTTATTGTAAATTTTATATTTGTTATCTAAATATCAATTTATGTACTCCAAATTAATATTAAAAAAAAAATAGTTTGAATTTAATAAACAAACTAAGAAATAAACATTTAATATAATACCAATTTTATTCACCCAAAAAAATATAATATCAATTTAAGAAAACTAAGTAGTCGAGAAAACAAACTTAGCTTTAGTAGGGTCTAAGGAAGGTAAAATGATTGCAATTTTACCCTAATTTTTGGAGAGACAATTTTCATGACTTGAACCTGCTCAATAAGGGATGCTAATGACAAACCTTATCATTCAGTTAAGCCGCTCTTTTAACTTCTCAATTTATTTTCATATCCAACTCTGTAAAATATTGTTTCTTTAGTTTTTATGCATATTGTAAGTATTATGTTATAAAATTCTTCTTCTTCACCTTCTTTTTTAATGAAATGCAAAACTTTTACCATCAAGTTTTCTATTATGTAATATTATATTTACATTTTACATGGAGTATTATATGTTTTATAGTATCTTCACTTCTTTTTAGTAGAATATAAGCTTATTTTGTGTATACCTTTGAAGAAATATTTATTTAAATTAAATTATTATGTTATTTGCCTTTTTCAATAGGATCTTACGATCCCCGATCCGATTCTACGATCTGATCCTATAAACACCTCTAACGATCCAATGTAGGATCCCGATTTTAACAACCTTGAATAGACTACACAATGAGTTGTGGTGGCCTCTACTCTAGATTTCATGCTCTCAAGCAATTTCTATAGTAGAGTTTTTTTTTTTTCAGAGGTTTTTCGCAGCTTTTCTCTGCCTCAGCCTCAGCCTCTGTCTTATAGCCGAGGCAGCCACGCGCATCGCGCGCCTCTTGCCACCAGCCGACAAACGGGCACGCAAGCCAAGGCGCCCACGTGCCTCGCCATCATGTCCGGCACGCCTTTTTATGGATTGGGCACGCCTTTTGATGGCACGCCTTTTGATGGCACGCCTTTTGATGGCACGCCTTTTGATGGCACGCCTTTTGATGGCACGCCTTTTGATGGCACGCCTTTTGATGGCACGCCTTTTGATGGCACGCCTTTTGATGGCACGCCTTTTGAAAAATTGAGCGCACCTTTTGAGGATGCGATTTTTTTATGGGTCCGACAAGACTCTGTAAACTGTCTCGACATTGATTCCGGTTAGCTCCTTTATGGGTCTGACAAGACTCTGTAAACTGTCCCGACATTGATTCCGGTTAGTTTCTACAAGGGTCCGTCAAGACTCTGTAAACTGTCCCGACATTGATTCCGGTTAGTTTCTACAAGGGTCCGTCAAGACTCTGTAAACTGTCCCGACATTGATTCCGGTTAGTTTCTACAAGGGTCCGTCAAGACTCTGTAAACTGTCCCGACATTGATTCCGGTTAGTTTCTACAAGGGTCCGTCAAGACTCTGTAAACTGTCCCGACATTGATTCCGGTTAGTTTCTACAAGGGTCCGTCAAGACTCTGTAAACTGTCCCGACATTGATTCCGGTTAGCTCCTTCATGGGTCCGACAAGACTCTGTAAACTGTCTCGACATTGATTCCGGTTAGCTCCTTCATGGGTCCGACAAGACTCTGTAAACTGTCCCGACATTGATTCCGGTTAGTTTCTACAAGGGTCCGACAAGACTCCGTAAACTGTCACAACAACTGTCACAACATTGTCTGCTACAACGGTCCGACATGACCCCATAAACTGTCTTCTACAACAAACATAAATCAATCAATAATACAATTCTCTATTTCTCTTTATACATTAAATTTTCTACAACATTTGACTAGCTTGGTGTCTGCCTGGCCCAAGATCGAACTATCCAAGCTTTTACTTCGGCCCATAGCCCGGTCTTAGCTCGACACAATTTATCCACATAAATTACCCTCTCAATTGTCCCTTAATTCCATCTACGAAGTATGATTGGGATTAGTGTCTTCCAGCCATGCTAAGATATTCAAACCACCTGCACCAAAATGCTCAGGCCAATCGAGCTAAAACGAGCAAGCTAACCGATCTAAGATTCGCTCAGTTTCCAGAAGCTACGCCGGTTGTACAGCCCATCTTCCTGTGTTTCTAACATCATGTCCTTACTGGGACGTGTGGCACACATTGATTGTCCCCACTCACTGTGACAACCGTCACACACTGCCAAAAAATTTGAAAAGTCCCGCCATTTTGCTCAATTACATATATAGCCCTTTAGCCTCGAACAGTCACTTCTATTATTCATCTTCTAGCCCCCAAAATCATTATAATCACAGCTCCAATCTTTCACTTGTTTGTATTCAAGCCCTGGTACCATCGTCGTCGTCATCAAATCGAACTCGCTACTGTTGTTAGAACGCCATTTGCTGATCAGCATCATATTCTCCACTCAAAAACCCATAAGTTTCATGTCCTTTCTAACACTTCATATGATGCGCTACGTGTTCTTGGTTTTTCTATCATTATAAACCTATCATAGTGATACTATAATAGCATTTTCAGTATTATCGTGCACCAAAACGAGCTTAAAACTGCTTTAGGTTCGCAAACCCCACACTGTAGGAAGAATTCCCCCCAACTAGAACGAAATTAGGCAAGAACACTGACTTCAATCCAAAATCATAAACAAACCAGACTAAAAATCTGTTGATAGCCTTGCACATGAGTATAATCTAACTAGGGAGTCCTCCACAAACCGAGCTAAAAGCCCTTGCCCCTAGCCTAGACCGGGGTAAACCACAGCCTCATGCGAATTCAACCAAACTAGGAGCAACACCTTTCTCCTAACCGGGCTAAAAACCTTGTCCTAAGTCAAGGTCGGGCTAAACCCTAGCCCCTTCTTTAGCCGAACTACACGTCGCGCACACTCTCTTTGACCGAGCAAACTATAAACTAATTTGCACTGTTGTCTTAGCCCGGTCACCACTTGGCCATAACACATTATATGTTTTTCACTATGCGAACTTGACTAGGTTATTCAAGCACACATTCACTTGCCCCTTGGTGGCTCTGCTCGACCGAGTTATTCCTCGTTCAACGCCGAGCTAAGGAGCCGAACAAACTTATATTAAATTAAGGCCACCCTATGGACAAATACCGGTTTATGGTGAGCTCACCAGGTGCCATAGCTGAGTTCCGACAAGACTACAACATCCCTGACGATATACACTTCGAGCTGGCCGAGCTGGACATCACGCCCTGGAGCAAGCCCCACTTCGTCCCGTTTACTCTGCTATCCATTGTAGAGGGCGCATTCCTGTTTCCAGTGCAACCCCTCATCTGCGAATTCCTTAAGAAAACCAGACTATGCCCCACCCAATTATCTACCAACACATACCGAATAATAAATGGCATCGCCGAACTCAATCACCGTCTCAGCCTCAACCTCGGATTGGACGAGCTATTTCACCAATATTCGCTGTGCCAAAATGATGACGGTTTGTGTCTATTACCTTAGAATCAGAAAAGGCCGAGAGAAAATCGTCAAGAAAACACTAGAAAAAAACTTAAACGATGATGATTTTCTCTAGGTGTCTAGAAATTTTGAAGACCAAGAAGCCCAGATATCGGGCTACAAAATCAACTGGAATAAAGGAACGGCTGGTAAGGATAGTCCGGGTTCATCTTCTTTGCCACTTCAACTCCTGCCGCACTAACCTTTGTTTTTTTGCTTTGGCAGATTTGAACTACTTAAATCATATTATGCCTACGCCGATCAAAACGACCTTCGTGTCACGTTTCGCTACTGTAGCCAAGATTGAACTGAGCTCCTAAACTTTGAGCCGACTTATCGTTATAGTGGTAAGAGGAAGACTAAGGTCACAGACTTCCTCATTAAGCCATCGTTTAAGGCAGGCCCAAATCACCCCTAAATCAATCTTATTCCTCTTACTGAAGAGCAAGAGATAGCAAAAAAGCGAGTTGTCCGAGCCCTCATCATCTAACAGACGTCTACCTCCAACGCCGAGGCGCAGATCGAACTAGCTCTAGCCGGTCAAGCATGCGAGACCGTTGTCGCCCTCCCATCTGCCAAAGCTTCGTTATCTCGGCCTAGTAAGAGGCTCCGTACTTCGGCCAGTCAGACGCAATGACTAATAGATGAGGAAGAGACCAAGCTTCTTGAGGTTGAGCTCCCCGTAAATAAACAATCACAAGATGGCCACCGAGCTACCCCCTCTTCCCCTCCAGCGTGAACACCAGTTGTGTTTTTCAGGGGCCAAGTTGTGACTACGACTGATTCTGTTTGAGCTGAAAAAGACCACTTCTTGGATTTTAACTTGGCCAAGAGTGTTTGTCTGCCAACTGATATGGAGCACCACGATTTGACCCAACTAAAGGCGATACGGTCTATTACGAAGTTGCTAGTCTTGGTAATCCTGAATTCCACACCTTTTTGTCCTTTCCACTATCATGCTGCCCGGTTTAGCTAATTATTACGTACATTTTGTAAGCCGTTCAGAAGAACCACATTGCCCATCAGCGCATCTTGGAATTAAGGAAAGTGGCTAAGGCGGCCATTGCTGATGGCAAGGCCAAAGAAGCCGAGCTAAAAGAGCTCCAAGCAAAGTTCGTCGAGCTGAGCACTGACCGTAATCACCTGGCCGAGTTACTTTGTGCGGCTGAAGTGGATAAGCAAAAGTCCCTGGCGAAGAAAAAAGACCGCTATCTAAGAGAGCTTGCTAAGTTAGAAATGGCTAAAAACGTCAAAATAAAAGTCCTTGAGAAGAAGATAGAGGATGCTGAGGACCGCGGTTATGCTGAAGAAGAGTAGTCCTACATCTAGCAATGCGAGGCAGCCAAGGTGTAACAACCCTTATCTGTAATTAGCCACTAATCCGTATTCAATGATGTTAATGAGAAGATTAAAATAAATTATGTGTTTATTCTGCACTTTGTATGATTTTGGCTTTCTATCTGTTACTTATAGAAATATCTATTTGGAATTTCACTTTAATATGTAAATCGAAAGCCTTATCGGCACCCGAAACCGAAATTGACTACACCGATGTGTTATTTGGAATTTTTAGAACCATATGGAAAGTTTTATTAAAAATTGATTCAGTCTGATTCATTAAGTCGTGTTTGGATGGACCAAATGCTCTAGTTAATGTATTAATACATCACAGGTATTTAAAGGGCCTAATAAGCTCATTTGAGCTCATTTCTTTCATCTCCCTTAGTGCACAAATCTGAGAATTCATCTTAGAGAGAGAGAGAGAGAGAGTGCAATGCTAGAGAGAGAAAGGTAGAGTTTAAGAAGAAATTGAAGGCTTTGACTTGAACTCATCAAGATTGTGCTAGAACATGAGAATTTGAAAACTCTAGGTAAGGATTTAAGACTTAATTATGACTTTTAACCATCAAGTAGATCATTTCAAGAAGAATTGGTGATTATGTACAAGAGTTGGACCATAGATAATGAATTTAGAGTTAATTCATGCATGCATGTACATTTTCTTACAAATTCCTCTCTTGCATGTTTGAAATTCATTTTCATTTGGGGAAATCATCAAGTTTCAAGTTGTTTTATGGTGTTTGATCATGCTTTGGGAAGCTCAAGACCAAGAAAACCCATGCATGTTGTGTTCATAAACATTCATCATGTTTTAAGCTGAAATTGTGAGTTTTTAACAAACTCTTGGGCCATGATTTTATGAAATGATCCTAAATTCTTCATGTTTTACAAAATTACTTTGTTATCTCAAGTTTTGGGGCCCAAGAGATGTGTTTTGAAGGTTAGAATTCGAGTTTTGAGCTTAAAGGTGCAATTTGGAAATTCCAGAATTCCCATCTACGCTCGAGCGACCAATCTGAGTGCGTGCACTCCACTCGAGCGACCAAAAGTCCGCTTGAGCGTGAATTGAAAGCTCCCAGAAGTTTCATGTCTTTTACAGATCGCTCGAGCGAAGGAATGTGCGCTCGAGCAACCATTCACATTTTGCATGTCCGCTTGAGCGAGGAAAGCTACGCTC